TATATTTGTATCATTTTATTGAATAACCAAACTATTTATTCTTAAAGGTACAAATAACTAAACTGTAAAAATGAAAAAGAAGAAAAGAAAAGAAACCCCACTTCCTCCTCCCACCTCGCCATCCCTTTCCTCTTCTTCTACCGCATCTTAACTGTTAACTCTCACTTCCCTCTCCCTCTTCAACTCCTCTCTCCCCGCCGACGCCATGTCCACCTGCCAGGACCTCCCCTTGTTCGACTTGTCCCAAAACTTCCTCGACGTCTCTCTCCCGTCCACTCTCGCTGATCTACTCGACCTCTACCACCTCGACTTACAAGCAAACACCTCGACCAGCCAAATCCCTGCCCGCTCCGGCTAGTTCTGCAACCTTGAGAGGATCTCACTCATCGTCGTCCTCATCGCTTAATCTGACGGCTATAGAATCTGAAAACTCAGATCTGAAATTCAATCTCGATCTTCATCGGCTCCGCCAGTGAATCGCCGCCTCGTCACCCCAAACCATGACAGCCTAATCGCCCAGATCGTGGCCAAATTCCAGATCGACCGTTTCATCTTCCGGATTCAACCGAAGCATGCGGCGCACTTCAAGAGTCCTATCCCTTTTTTACCAGCGGCTGAAGCATTGGCGCCTTGGCGGCGACTTTGGGAAGATGAAATTTTGGTGAGAAATATGCTTGTGGGTGAGAGGCACGGGAAGGAAAGAAATTGGGAATTTTGCCATCTTAAATTTTGAGAATAGGGTTTGTAAAAGGAATACAGAGAACGGAAGGTGAGGAGGTTACTTTTTATTTTTATTTATTTTTTATTTTATTTCAAATAATAAATTGATAAATATCTATGTGGCACAGTCAAATAGTTGACTCTATGCCACGTCACTAATTGACATCCAACTCAGCGATGAAATTGCCACGTCACAGTCAACTAACAGTTGACCGGACAGAAAGTTAACGTTTTGGCTATTATTTTGTTTTTGAAAAGGTTTGGCTATTATTTTGTTTAGGGATGAAAGGTTTGGCTATTAAATTGTATTTACCCAATTCTTAATTACCTAACTCAAATGACATTGCCACTTGAGATTCAAAGCTTGCGAGTACCTTAAACCCATTCAAAAATTGATTAAGTAGCTTTCTCAAACCATCATTATCAATACTCATTCTATTCTAAGGATGGTAAAGTAACAAGCAAGTTTCCGGCGATGGAGGAATGAGAAGTTGACAACTGACACACCAAAGATCCGAATCCCGACAAGCAGCTCGTACACAGTAACATTTGACTTTCACCAAAAGCTGACCAATTCAATGCAATGGAAGTAGTAGTACGATCCCCGCGTAGGGAATTTCCCGCGCGAGTTCATTTCCACAATCACAAGGAAGAAGAAGAAGTAGCTCTCAATTCAGTTCAACAATTGACGCAACGGAGTACACATAAATACCATCAGATTCATTAGATGATGATTAATTACTTCCATTAACACCCTCCAACTAATTACCACCAACAACAAATGCTCACACAGACATGGCGGCCGCAAACCTTCATGAGTTGCTCTTCATCATCATATTCATTCTCCCTTCCCTGTTCCTCGTCTCCTCCAATGGCCAGACCCGAATCGGGGTCGTCCTTGACTTGGGGACGAGAATCGGGATGGAGCAGAAAACCGCCATGGAAATAGCTGGGAGGGAGTTCAACATTTCCCTCCATTTCCGTGACTGCTCTTCTTCCCTCGCCGCAGGCAGAAGCCTCCTCCGTGCGGCGGCCGCGGCGGAGGAGCTGATCAGAGACGAGGCAGCCAACGCCATCGTCATGGGGACGGACAGCTGGGAGGAGACAGCTCTAGTCGCTGACGTGGCTGGAAATGGAGCCAGAATCCCGGTCGTATCCTTCGCCGCCGCGCCGCCGGGGGATTCTCGCTCCTCACGACTGTCGTCGTTCTTGGTCCGGATGGGTCATGGAAATACCCAGCAAATGCGGTGCGTTGCGGCGCTGGCCAAATCGTACAATTGGAGGCGGGTGGTCGCCGTTTACCAAGAGAACGCGTTCGGTACTGATTCCTCCGGCGAGTTGACTCTTCTCTCCGACGCATTGCACGAAGTCGGCGCCGAAATCGAGCACCGAATACTACTTCCTCTGTTTCTGCCGTCCAATTCTTCAAACGCCGTCGTTCAAGATGAGCTGATAAAAGTTATCGATTCGGTTCAATCTCGGGTGTTCATCGTCCTGCGATCTTCGCTTCCCGTGGCGGTTGATTTGTTCCGGGAAGCGAAGAAGTTGGGACTCGTCGGAATGGACACGGCGTGGATTTTGACGGCGAGAGTGGCAGAGTATCTCGACTCTATAGATCCCTCTGTTCTCTACTCCATCGAAGGCGCTCTAGGAATCAAACCCCATCGCACAGAATCTTCCACCTCGTTTCGTGAATTCAAAGCTCAATTCGGGAGGAGATTCAGGCTAAATTACCCAGATGATCATTACACCGAGCCCAGCTTCCACGCTTTGCAAGCTCACGACGGAATTTCAATGATCGGACGAGCTCTAGAAAAGAAGACGGCGAGCCATAACAAATTGTTGGAGAACATAATGGAAAGCAAATTCACTGGTTTAACCGGCCGGATTGAGTTCAGGGATGGCGGGCTGGTATCGCCGGAGGAAAATGCTCCGAGGATTGTCAATGTCGTGGGAAATGGGTACAAGAAGCTGGACTTTTGTGGGCCGCCGGAGATGGCTTCCGGTAAACTGAAGCTAGGAGGTCCGGTGACGTGGCCAGGGGACCTAAACAGAGATCCAAAAGGGTGGGGGATGCCGACCGATGCGAAGCCGATGACTATTGGAGTTCCGGGGAGGACGACGTTCGAGAAGTTCGTCCAAGTAGTGAACGCAAGCGACGGCGAGAAGAAGTACGAAGGATTCTGCATCGAGCTTTTCTGGAAGATCTTAGACAAACTCGACTACAGACTCCCCTACATATTCGTGCCTTACAACGGCACATACGAGGAATTGGTGGATCATGTGTACAACAAGACCTACGACGCCATTGTTGGTGACATCACTATTCTAGCCGACAGATGGGAGAAAGTGGAGTTTACTCAGCCGTTTGCGGAATCGGGGCTCTCGATGATCGTGCCAGCGGATTCCAAGAAATCTGCCTGGATGTTCATGAAGCCCTTCACCATGGAGATGTGGTTGGTCACTGGATCTATCTTGATGTACACAGCATTCATCATCTGGTTCTTGGAGCACCAGAGTAATCCGGAGTTCAAAGGTCCTTTAATGAACCAGATGGGAACCGCGATTCTCTTCACTTTCTCCTCGCTCTTCTTTGCCCACAGTAAGCAATTCTAAAATCTAATCAAACCCCTTTTGAAGGTTATCAACTATGAAATCTTCCTTTCGATGAAGCTTATGTGAGGCTGATTATCATTGCTGCTGTTGTTAATTTACAGGGGAAAAAGTGTATAGCAACCTGACTCGTTTGGTGTTGGTGGTGTGGCTATTCGTGGTGTTGATACTGAACTCGAGCTACACAGCCAGCCTGACTTCCATGCTCACGGTGCAGCGGCTGAAGCCAAACGTCACTGATATCGACTGGCTGAAGAAGAACAACCTGAGGGTAGGGTGCGATGGAGATTCATTCGTCAGGAATTACCTCGAAAAAGTGCTGGAATTCAAAGCAGGCAACATAGAAAACGTCAATAATGAGTACAATTATGAAACCCAGTTCGACAAGAATCAAATCTCTGCCGCATTTCTGGAGCTCCCGTATCAGAAAGTGTTCATCAATCACTACTGCAAGCGGTTCACTGCAACCGCACAGACGTTCAGATTTGGAGGATTGGGATTTGTGAGTGTCACTCCTGTGTACTGTATTATCCTTTCCAATGTGTTAACGCTTTTGGAGATTAGACACCCCTAAGCTTTGTTCCTTATCTTTCCCTTCAGGTGTTTCAGAAAGGTTCTCCAATAGCAGCCGATGTATCGAAGGCCATCCTGAAGCTGTCAGAAGAAGGAGAGCTGAAGAGGTTAGAAGAGGATTGGTTTTCTCCGTCTAGAGAGTGTTCAGGCAGTAGGAGCGATGACAACACCGAGAGCTTGAGCCTCCAGAACTTCTGGGGGCTGTATGTTTTATCTGGTGCAACGTCCACCGTCTGCTTGGTGGTGTTTCTATTGCATTTGTTGAGGAAGTACAGGGTTTGTCAGGAAGAGGAAGGACATGGGGATCTTAGTATATGGAACAAGACGGCTGAGTTAGCAAAGTACCTTTATAGAGGGAAGGCTGTTGTGGAAAGTGCGCCGCCTCCAACTTCAGCAGATGCAGGAGAGGATTGGAGTGTTTCAAGTTGCATATGTGAAAGCCCGCCTCCTCGCACTCCTGATGATCCAGGGATTCCAGAAAGCTTTCATGACAATCCTGATGAAATAAGAATTCCAGCAATAGAGCTAGCTCAGGCTGTTAGGCATGCAAATATGTAGAACTCCAGTAGCCGAAATATCTTTCACATGCCTCTTTTAGATGGGAAATTTCTAAACTGGATTCAGCAGTGAAGTACAAATGATTCTCAAGTAGAAAATACAGCAGAAATCTCATAACACAAACCACATCCATCAAGTTGTTAACCGCATAGTTCATCTTCATCCCACTGAATACAACAATCTAAAATAGGTTCCAACTGTTTCAGCCTTCCATGTCAGATCACAACTACAAATGAACAAAGCAGATTCGACTAAGCCTAACTTAACGGGTTAGAAATTGAAGTTGCTTTCGTTTTTCTCCAAAATTCAATCCACAACGAACAGCCTCCACAAGAATAAAGACTGGCGGCGATAAATGAAGACGGTGATCTGCGGGCTAATCTTGGTTCGGCTAGAACACTTATCCAGCTGGTCGTCTTTCAACTTCTGTAACTCAAAGTCAAATCTCCTTCACTATGCTTGCATGTAGTCTCGCTCCCCTCACACACTCTCTCTCTCTCTCTAGTTTCATGTGAGTCACTTCTCCTTCAGTATGTCTAACGAAAACCTCCTCTGCCTCTTCCACGGCCACCCCACCCCCTGCCCCTTCCTCGGCCATGTGTGTTGCCCCTCCCGATGCCTTCGAAAGCCCTATTCACGAGTTGGTTCTGCATGCCGCCGCCACCGCCACCACCACGCCCCTTCTTTGCCGGGTTCCCTGATCCATTAGTAGCTGTTTGAGGTCGTTTGCCTCTGCAGGAAAAAAAAAAAAAAAAAGTTGCAACTCAGAATATAGCCTAAGGACTGTCCATTTCAAAGCATTGCTTCTCATTCAAGAGCACTAGGCAATTAAGTTTTGAGTACCCAGTTGTCACGGTGTTGGATGGTACAGAAGGTTTTGTTGCTTCTTTCCAAGAAAGGTTGATGCTCTTGTCTCCCATGAATGAAGGCGTTTTTGCATGCAAAGGCTGCAAAAATGTCATAATTTCGACTAATGTATGAGTATTTATAGGCAAAAAATCGACACAAGCCAGCGGTACAAAAATTTTCTAGCTCTCTCACCTTTGACATCGCCAAAATGTTATTGCATGTTCTCAATCCAGTTGTTGCGTTCTGCTTCTGAATTTTCTGCATATATTAGAAATGGAGGAAGAATGTCATCATAAAGATGCAAATTACTACAAGACTACTGAAACTGACAACTGCATAATCATCATGCTTTGGCACATAATTTTAACATACAATTGCATCCTTAGCTTCCTCTGACTTAGCTGCTGACATTGCTTTATTATGTTCTGCCATTCCTTGCGTCAATTTTTTCAATGTAGCCCTAGTAAGCTCCTCCACACTAGTCAACCTGTAAATATCAACAGCAATTGATATGCAATGCCTACATTAGTCCTTGTATCCTTGAACGGAGAGACTAGTCAATAGAAAACTGCCCATTTTTTATAGATCAGATCTTGTTTTTAGACAAGTCTTGAAAATTGCATCTTTGTTTTTGTTTTTTTATCACAGTATTGGAACTTTTAGTAATATCGATATTTCAACAAAATTTCACTTAATAGCAGCTGCAGAGCTCCTTATTTATGTGGGAATCATGGAAACAAAATTCAATAGTACAAGCAACAACATATACCATGAAGGAAACTATAAATTTCAGATGGTCTGTGGCTTGATTTCACTTTGATCCAACACAAGCAAATTGATGACATCAGAACCAGCTAGAAAATATTACTATTGAGCTTCTTCTAACCTTTCAAAAAAAAAAAAAGCTTCTTCTAGGATTTAGTGACACAATAAGGACAAAATAACCAGAGTATGCTCTATTCAGGACTGAATGCAAAAAGTCTCTGAATTTGAATGTGAATTAATTAGAAAATAAGCGTGTTGAAATTGATCTACCTCTCAGTGAAATCCTTGTAGAGTTCAGAGAAGTCCTCGCCAAGTCTATCTGATGGTTGGCCAGTTACTATCTTGTAACCGCATAAGCTGTTTGTGGCATTAGGAGCCTTCACGTCGAAACAATTAAATTAGCATAAAGTGATAGTACAGCAAGAAAAACGACAAAAGGTAAGAGGATAGTACAGCAACCTTGTTTGTCAAATGGTGAAAAGCATATAATAAGCACTCGACATAAGTAAAGTTTGTTTCTTCCCCTGTCTTCTTTCGTGGCATGTACTTCTGAGAAGATTGAAAAGACACAAGGAAATGTAAACAAGATATGCAGACAAAGGTTCTTTCTAGGGGAGGGAAAAAGAGGGTCTACTTAATCCAACATGAAAGATATTGCACACCTTCAAGAGTTGAACAACAGAAGGAAGAATCTGGCGAGAATCTTGAGGAGTAGTGTATGGAGAGCTTTCTGCCAGTGCTTTCAGTAAATCAAGCTTTCGTTCTTCAGGAAGCTGACAATGTAAGGAAAAGAAAACCTTTATTAGTACTCTTCTTAAGCTGGATGACTTCACCTTTATATACATATAAGTTCCACGGCTACAGAGAAGTCGAAGAAAGCAAGGCAAGTGTCAAAACAACACAGCAACGAAGAACGAAATGGATGATCTGGAAACCGTCAATCACCAACAGGATTTAGGAGGAGTGAATGAAAGTTGTGCAGTTGAATAAAGCATAAGAGACAGCCTAGCTCATGTTGATACTCTACAAACAACAAACCATCCCAAAATGTCACATAATTTTATCAACTTAGACCCAGAGGACTTCCTTGAACAAAAGTTGTGTAGTTGAATAAAGCATGAGAGAGCCTCGGTCACATTGAGACTCTACAGACAACACATCATCTCAGAATGTCAAATAATTTTATCAACTTAGAGCCAGAGAAGGACTTCTTGATAAAGTACATCTCTGATCCCACTATGAACATAAAAAAAAAAAAAATTAAATGACAAACAAACAAGGTCAGACTTGAAAATTTTACTAGCTAATAGTACTTCTCAAAAGGAGATTCACTCGATTGTGGTCAATTATCTTAAATATGCTGACAGAATGCAATTATATCCCTAGATTTCAGGTTTAGGTTCCCTCAAGTTGTATCCTACAAAATCATCACAGGAGTTCACCTTATCAACTCAAAACCAGAGGACTCCCTTAATAAAGTATATCTCACTAATTGGGGAAATAAATGACCAACTTATTACTTTCAGTTGCTAAAATTATATATAAAGCTCGAGCATTACCTTATCGAAAACGGGTATTATGTGCTTGTTCAAATAGTTGAGGAATTTGGAACTAGATGCTCCTCTCTGCAGTTAAAATTGCAGAGGTCGGACAACACTGATACAAAATATTTAATCTTGCCAATCTTCAAGCTGAAAGGGGGAAGTTTGTACCAAAAAGAATGGAAGAGCCGTGTGCAGGCATGATATTAATCTATCAATATGATCTCCATCTTCAACCTGCATCATATTTCAATCAACTCGTGTTAAGAACACCATCAAATAAAAGATTAACATTTTCCCAAACAAAATGGACTACTGGAAGTGAGATGGCAACCTATCCACTCATGCATGGAGCAACATGTCAAATATTACCAGACAATTTGCCAACATTAACAACTACAGTGCTAACAAAATAATGACCACGACTCTCAAGATCCCGCTAGCCACCTAGGTTTCTAGAGAATGATAAGCAAAGTAAGTTCTTTTTTTTTTTTTTGTACCTTGTACTTATAGGCAATACATCTGGGAACACAGGAATATGAGCAGAGACAAAAGTACACTCATCCATGTTGATGGCAACAGAATGCTCAGAATCAAGCGCGTAATAAGAATGATAAACAAATAATCAAAATTATTGATCAGTGATAAGTTTTGACATCAAATCTTATCAAGCTTGTCACTTAACAGTGGTCTATAGAACCTATTGACAGAACTACTTGTGCATTTTGATTCTTCAAGAAACAATTGATGACATATTCTACAACAGCTCAGGACAAAAATACCATGAAATAGCATAAGAGAACAATCACTCACATTGAACTGTGCATCTAGATCAGCCTGCCCTTCAATTATTTCAACAAGTTCTTTTGTACGCTCAGGAGGGGCTTTATCCCCAAACATGTTCAAACTCTTCAAGAAGTCCATAAACATCCTGAATTCAGCACCAGTTACATCTTGTAAACTCTGCAAAAGTTATGCATTGTCAAATATAGGAACAATTTTCACCACAAAAAAAAACCTCAGAACCACTACTACCAAAGCATAAAAAATGACAGAACAGTAAGCTACCTTTTTAATCAAATCAGTTATATGTCGTTCCATCTCCTCTTGAGGCCTCAAGAGTTCAGCTTTGAGCGGGAAAACCTGAAAATTACCTGTTAGTTTTGGTACATCACTCAAAAACAGCCAACTCAAACAGCATTTAAATGATTTTTACCTTATCTCTTATGAAGCTAAGAACTTTCTCACGGAATGGGTCCTCTGTGTTTTGTTCATCAATAGTGCAAATGTGTTTGAATAAGGCAGTTAGGCAAGCTGCAGGACAAGAGAGTTCCACAGCCATGAGACTATGGCATGCTTGAGTAAAGAGTATACAGTGTCCTATTCCTATGTGTGGCTAGTTAATCATAGTTGAGTTTCTAACTTTACATTGCTTCACCTTTCCCCAGCCCAAAACCCCTATTATGCACAACAGCAAATGCAATACACGTTGTAACTACTTACCTTTAACATCCTGCCTCAACAAGGACATGAGGGCCTTGTGCACTGCATCCCTCTCTATAATTTCCTCTGGAGTTCATCAAATGAAGTTAGCACCTATCCTAAGCGAAATGAACCCAAAACTTCAAAAAGAGAGTTCAAAATTCTGATCTACCTGCTGTAAGTAGTTGAACAAGAATGTCCACAATCTTGGATAGATTGTCTGGGGTCTTGCAGAAAAGCGGCAGACCCCTAATTGCTTGTACCCTCACCTACATAGACACCGAACATTCAGTATTCATGTGTAATAAGGAGAGAAATTCTCAATTCGATTCTTCAAAATTTTATTTTGCAAGACCCTAACTGATAACAAAAACATGGTCTGAATAAGGAATTATATTCTCCAGCTATCATATAAGCATAGCTTGCATCCATTCAACATCAATGAACACAAAAACTAAGCACACTCCACACATCAGCAGCCTAGACGAATGACATTAAAATAAAAAGCGGAACAAGCATACACACCCGAAGATCTTCCTCTTCAACCAAATCCAGATGAGCGTCAACAGCATGGTTAGAGAGTTCAGGGAAGAACTTGAAGAAGCGCGGGATGAGCTGTGCCGCCAGCTGCTTCGCCTTCAAACTCGTCTTAGCAGCATCAATAATACCTTGGTAATCGGCAACGTTCTGCGGGGAGGAAAAAAAATCGACAGCAGCAGTAGTAAAACCCAAAAACTTTCATCAGCAACCGGGACAGCGGAAATAGAAAACCCTAGAAATTACGAGCTACAGAAGGAAGGGGCTGGATGAGTGAAGTTAAGATGGAGAACCTGAGCCTTGTCTTTAGCCTCGCTGAGGCGCTCGCCGTACTCGTAGAGCTTCTCGATGTGAATGGAATCGTCGTTGAGGTCGGCCATTCTGGCAAAAGCGGGATGTGGGTTGCTTTGGGCTCTCCAAAAACCGGTTGCCTAATGAGAAGCGGGAATGGAACAATTTGGAGGAGGAAGAACACAGGAATTGGGACGCGCGGATTAAATGCTTCACACCAAATCAGTGATTGAATTTCCAAATGGGGAGAAGGGATTTCACTGGGTTTTACGCGCTGCGAAGTGAGGGAAGAGAAGGAAGCTGCTGCTGATGTGAGTGGAAAAAGAAAAGGACCAGAGGCTCGGCGGCTCGGCCAGTGAAGGGTTTTTGAATGGGTTATTTGTCCGTTTGTCGTGGCCCGCAAGTGTTGTTGTTGTTGTGTATATAGCGCTTTAGGGCGTCCCAACTTTTATTCAAAACTAGAAAAAATGCTCGCTGCTACGCCGTGGGGACTTAAGTTACAGAGTCATAATGAATGAATGGGTAATTTCGTTTATGGTCAAATCAGGTGGTTGTAGTTTTCTCTAAGTAAGGAGGTGGAGAGTCATGTTTGTGGCCATTCCATCTACTAATCAATACCCACGATTATGCCGCAGGAACTAAAGTTGCAACAACCTGATCATATACCATAGCAAGTGTAGGTGGCGGCTAAGTGGGATTGTTGTGCCACTGGCAACCGTGTAAGTTCAGAAATTTTGAAAGTAGGAGACTTGTATCGTTGGGCTACTGGAAAAAAGTAATAATGAGTGTAAGAAAGCATTTTAATTGAAGAAAACAAAGAAATCACAACCTGGTGTAATTCAATCAAAAGGAAACGACAATGATTGAAGAAAGCTAGCAGCATTAATGATGAACTTAAGTAACCATTTTGATTCTATTAATGATAAGAATTGAGCAATCAAGAATTGCATTAAGCCAGGGGATAACGTTCTACGATCAAAATACATTGAATGATTTTCCTGCATCACTGATACAGAGGAGAAAGTGGGAGATAAAAACTTGAGGGTCGCATGTACAGTTACACGGATGTGGATGGGTTAGGTGTAGTTCTTAGCAGAGCTCGGCGAAAACCACAGTTGAATTAGTAAGCCACCATGTGACCCTCTAACTCTGGTACACCTTGTGAAGCTTCACCACCGAGTAAATTTCTTTGCCTCCCAGAGACGTCAAGCCAATAGAAATGGCAGGAGAAGGGAGAGAGAGAGCCCTTCACCAACTCCTCAACAACGTACCCCCTCCAGCATCATATGGTGGCACTAGTAAAACTTTTGCATAAAGAGCAAAAGAAACATAAGATATTAATCGATTACATAAAAATGGAATGGGAAGTTCAATGTTAATCTCAACACCAAATTAACCTCTCCGTTGGATTGTTGTATTTATATATCTAACTATCTAAGCATGACCAAATAGCAATCTATTATAGACAAAAGAAAATGTTGCAAGTTCATCTAACTACTCAATCAATACAGGTCACTCCATGATTTGAAACCCATTATAGTTATGTGAAGATTAAAATGACAAAATGGATCCAATCACATTCAAGCCACCATGAATGAAAGTCGGAAGTACATGTGCCGTGTTTTAGCTGAGAAACTGGAGTCCATGTGTGAAGACTTTCTAAATGTGCTTGACTGGAATGTAAACATAAAATCAGATGCATCATGTTCATCAATCTACAAATCATTGGAAAATTATACATAATTCCATTGGCCTTACTTTGTTCCATATACTAAAGCAATTTGCTCGTAAAGACAACTCTAGTTCAGTTTCATTTTTGAACCCATACCCCAAAGGTAAAATAAATTATTTGAGAAGAATCATCCAGTTTTGTAGGAAGACGAAAAACCAGTTTTATATGATTAGATAAGTTGCTTCGACCAAAGCTACAATGTAAATGAAATTTTTAGAAATGATTATTGACAACAGTTGATTTCATGTTTACATTTTGTGAGCGACTTCAGCATGAAGGGAAGAAATTCATAAAAGGGACATGGGAAGTATGAAGTAGAAAAGATCAGGATAAGGGATCGAGTTACACATTGTCCTATCCTGGCCAACCTTCTTCCTCTTGGGGTCCTTTACTTTCCCTCAGCAAACAATTTGGTCCCTTTCTTTCTTTAAACCAAATCAGGTTACAAGGTTTATATTCCCGCTTTCATCCTAAGCAAAGCTAACCATCCCTTTCCATAAAAGAAGCACGTAAAGAATGCAAAATCAAACAGACTCATCACTTTTATAAGACGAAGAGAAAGAACATTTTATAGAGTAGAGCTTGCCACAAAGCAACCTTACCCATGCAAGATTAAATGAAAGAAAAAACCACAAATTGAATTCGCAAAAAGGTTAAGAGTAGAATTAAAACGCAAAGCTCTTTTGTTGGCGGTACATCAGAATCACACAAAAACAGAGGCAGTGGTTTCCTAACCTTTTAATGACAAACTCATCACGTCTTGTTACTTTAGCTCGTTCTAGAACCACTCTGCCATAATTACTTTGTTTTGTACAAATCCAAATGGGTTGAAACTGGAATCAAGATCTCAAATATCATTAGATTTTGCTGCCATAATATGACAGTATCCATCCTTTGAAAGTGTCAAGCAAGGCATCAACTAAATGTAATAATTATTGATATGGAATCAAACATAAACTTCACAGAATGCATTAGACATAAAATTCACAAAATACATTAGCTAGAATTAGACTCCGCATTGGACAAAATTGAGGCTGACAAATACCTAACAAATTACAAACCAATGTAGCAAAAAATAACATTCAGGATCCAGTTGGTTTGAAACAAAACCCAAAAGAGAAGAGCAATTCGAAAACTGAACTGTCATAAAGATTAAAATTGCTTATATCCATCCACCATCCCAAAACACAGAAGAGCACAGAGGGAAACATAAACAATCTGCATGTAGCAAATTGCAGAAAGAACATGTATATGGCAAAACTTCAGCTGAATTTGAAAGGAACAATTTGGTTAAGATAAATAGACTACCTCCATATTTTAGATATATATATAAGAAACCTATATGATATGATATTGTAGCAGTTAGTTTAATAAAATTCAGAATGGTAAATAATTATTACCAAGGGAAGAGAGCTTAAGACCTCGATTGTAAACCAAGAGAGCCATTTCCTCTCTCATTTGTTGGCCACAGTAACTTGCTAGAAATGTGATTTGGTTTATCTTGATTCGGATATCCTCTAGGAAAATAACGCCAAGAATCCCTCAAATTGACGACGAAAACCAATCCAAGGCGAAGGAATCAAGATTTAGATTATTTATTTTGAACTGCGTGGAAAGAGATTCAGCATTGAGATTGATACTTAGTAAGAGCACCGAGAAATTGGCCGTCCAACTAAGCTTCTCCTCGAGCGAATCGACCTCCGTCAATAGAGACTCGAAGCTCCAGTTGGGCTTGGCTTCGACAGCGATCCCGCTAAGCTAACTCTCCACCGACAATGATGCTCCAACTTCACAGGTCCTCTAAAACAGAATGCTAAAGTCACTAACTGCGTGTTCTTTCCAACTTTTGCGGCAAACAAACCAAAATGGCCTACCTCTTAGTGGCTTTTATTTTGCTTTCTGCTCTTTTTCCCCTCCTCAGCTGCCGCCGAGCTTCTTCCTTCTTCCAACTTGAAAATTGGTGCTTCCACCAACTCCCACATCGGCCTCCTGCTACTCCATCACAGCCAATGGTTGTCTCAACTCTTGGCGTATAAACCATATCATTAGAATATTCATTGCCACCGGCGTGCTCTGCAACGAGAGTCCAAAGCTGAGAAATTAAAATTAACAATATTGAAAAAAGTACAGAGAAGTAAGAGCTCACCATCAGACGATTTTATCCATCAACGTTGGCTTTGCCACTGTTAGAACCAAAGAGAGCAAGAGAGATCCAGAAAGTCGTCGGATGTGGTCTGGTCTCCTGCTTTGATGCTATGAGTTCCAGGCCGATTATCTAACTCCGAACACAGGTCGAACTCAAAACCTACAAACAAAGGCCATATGGACAGAGAGGGGAGGAAAAGAGTTGCCATGGAGGCATTAAGGAGAGAGAGAGAGAGAGAGAGAGAGCGCCACCGACACCGATATCTTTCGCCTATGGTCGCTGGCGGACCTTCGCTTAGTCCAATTCGACAGTAAATCTGAAAGTGGAAGAGAGGCAATTTTATGGAAAGAACTGTGGTCGAAAAACTGGATCTGTAGAGTGGAGTGAGAAAACAATCGGGAAGGAGGTAGAGGTGAACTGCGTTGCGAGCCAGAGGAGATAAATCGTCGTTGTAGCCAACGGTAGGCCCCTAATCTAGTGGAGCAAGGCGAGAACTGACCAATTCATGGACGTTGGCGTGCCTGACCATCTGTGAAGAGGTTTCATGGGCAGTGGGTAGTGGCGTGTGTCAGCAACGACAAAGACCCGGAAAGTCTTGCGAAAGTACGGCCACGACCAAGGATAGGCATGTAGCTGCAGACTTTTGGGTATGGGCGCGGCGGATGTAGCTGCGGATTTTACGGTTCGATCGTGAAGGGAAGGCATGGGCTCCTGCTGCGAGGACGGAAGGCACTGCTGGGTGGGGAAGCTTTTTGCGAGAAGCTCTCTTGCCAATGCCACAAAACGACAAATAGTGAAACAATATTGAGGCCATAAAGTGTAGTCCGCTAAGGCTATAAAGTGTAGTCCTCTATTATATATAAGATAATTAAGCGAGGTGTTTCAATCTCTACACGATCAAAGTCCCCACAAGTCATTTTCTTAATGGAAACGAAGCAGACTAAGTCGGAGAATGAGGAATTGCAGAAAGAACTGGGTTTTAGTGGTGGGAAATGCCATCCAACGGACACTTTCGGAGGAGGCCATGCAGGTGGTCTATGCGTGTGATGGAAGGAGGAAATTAATATGTCACAGGTGAACTCCTCCTTACATTACATGGATATGAAAAACGTGGAAAGTAATGATGTGATATTGAGCTTCACTGGTCGGGGTCGGGGGAAAAGGTCAATACTGGGGCACTTCTGCGGGAGTTAGCTACTCAATGGTCAGGA